GGAAAGAAGAGGGATGAATACTAATGCTGAAGCAAATTTCTTCACCTCACCCGTATCCTTGATTGCTCATCGTAGTTTAACGTTGTCCCAGGTTAATCAGGTTGTTCCTGATTGAAGGACGGCCCTGCTCTCCCTTTAGCCAGTTTATACTGTTTAGTCTAAATGATTTACTTTGTTTGCAGCAAACCCCAGAATGCTACACAACAAGACATTGTTCTCTGAATGCTTAAGAAAAACATGGAAAAGAGTAACACAACAATGAAATAAATATTGTTTTAATATGAAAAGCAACATCAAGGTCTTCACAGCGAGGTATTGATCTAGGTTACATTATTTAGCGGTGGATTTTTTTGTTAAAATCAAATTAGACATAACTGCCACATGCATGTTATTTTTAGGGCTTTTTCCATCGGATTACTGTATTTACAGTTGCAATACAGTTTAGAACGCGTTGAGTTGCAGAGTGTAAAAAGCCTCTTACAGTACAGAGGCAAAAGCAACAGCAGTTTTGTTATTTCTGTGTTCAGCATTGTGGAAAAATACGGCATAGTTGTTGAAATTAATATCGTTCTTACACACCAGTTGTCCATATTCAAGTCAGTACAGGTTCATCAGAACAGCAGTTCTCCACCTGGATGCAGATGTGGCCAGTATTGTTTGGCAGCGGCATCCGGCTGCAGCTGAGCTCCAGCCTCAGTTAATATGCGATGGCACACACTGACGGTTCCATTAAACCGTATTTATGGCAGCCACAAGTAATCGATATGCAGATAGGCCAGCCTGCCCGCGTTCCCAGAATTGTCTTTGGTCCAGCAGTGCAATGCATCAAACTGCCATGCACAGTGACAACAGAGACAATATACACCATCACTGGGCATTGTTTGTCCTCTCTCACTATCCCTCTCTCTTATCCCGTCTCTCCTCATCCATCGTCATCTTTTCCTCATCCCATCCCCCCTGTTTTTGTTGATGAAACATATCCATTAAACAGGAAAAGATAGAAAAATATACTCTGTATATATGAATGTTCATGTAAGGAGTGAGCCCCAATATGTGCTGCGAAACTGTAGTTAAAACTCTCTACTGTCAGTCCCTTTGGTGCAATGGACGGGGTTTGTACAAGTAGACACTCAGTTATACAACATATGGATGAGCAGGCTTAAACACATTCATATACAGTGGGCAGACCTTCAATTTAGACATTCATTATATGAAACTAAACACAGATCCCCTGGGAGGACACCACTATTCAACATGTCAACCATATGGTGCCAAACTAGTACAACATAAGTGAGGTCAGGGGTGACAGAATGTTGATGCTGGAAAATTGTGAATTTCATAACATGTTTGGAGGCATAATTATCTATTTCTATATCCAAGCATGGTGCATAGTTCAAGTTGGGGAAAGACTGATTATGTTTAGAGTTAGACAACAAAAAGTCTCAAAGGTGCAAAATCTGAGATTGGGAGGATTAACATTCACTCAACGGTTCTGTCGACACCGGTGCAAACGCTGGCGAAAGGGCTGACAGAGCTAACAGTGTTTACCTGAGGGGGAACCAGAGATTAGGTGCTTCACTTTCACACGATGCTGTTGGTCGGGACAGCATTATCAGCTGTAACCGCCATATGAGAGCAGTGTAGAGCGGCGCCTGTGAGCTGAACAGTGAAGAACTCTCACACGCACATTCATGCACTAACACGCACTAAAAGCATGGGCGGCCGGCCCGGCTGTGATCGCACAGAATTGTCAATCGGTTGACCCAAACTCGGTGGAGTGGGCGGATTCAAAGGTCTGGTCCTAGGCAAGCCTGCATGAAAGTCGGACACTTGACATGACTAGCAACCACCGCAGCCTGCACACCATTACTTCACTGCAGTGAAGCAGGGTGAAGAGTAGCATCGAGGAGCTTGGACTGGTTGATCTATGTTGCTGATAGAAACCAGTTGTCATAATATCTGATCAAGATGATTTCTGCAGAGCTTTATGTGGACTTATTCTAGTAATGTCCAACTAGGTGGAGACCCCGGTTGGAGTACGTGTCTCGAGAAATGGACATTTGGCCTACATTGCTTATTAGTGTGCTGCCACCACATCCTCAATCCACTATGGCGGAGAAAACAGATGAGCTGATTGATTGAACATTCCAATATATTAGTTTTAACAATCTTGCTGGGATGTTGTGTGTTTGTAAACATTTCACTCAAAGTAAAAACAAATATTCCCTGAAAAAGTGCTGTTAAGACTTGACCCAATTTTAGGTTTAAAGAAACCCTTTATATGAAAGAGGACCATGTTTAGCCCTACTGATGAAGCTAGTCGGTAACCCAGGCTCTAAAAAAATGATGGCCAGATAAGCATCAAGTCGGAGCTGCCTCCCAGCACAGGAAATAGCATTAGCTTTGTTGTCACACACACACACACTCGGTGACCTTTTACTCCCCAGGTTGCCATAGAGATGCTGCTTCCTCCTTACACACTCCCAAAACAGCTGTGAAGGCAAGTGTGTGTGCAATAGTTGTATGTTCATTTGATATGTCATATACATACACAAGCAGATACGCTGCTTTATTAGATTTTACAAAGGCTCCACCTTCAGTGCCAGAACTCATTCCATTGGGTTCCAGCACTGCATTTCCCAAAACCCACCTGTCAATCAAACAGTGTGAGTAGGACTTTCTGGTTCTCTGTTTAGCCACAGTGGCGATCACTGCTCATGCTAACCATCCACGTCTTCTTCTGTTTAATTAAAACAACACATACGTGTAAAATGCACGGAGGATATTCTAACAATCGTGGAACAGAGTCTCTCGTTTCTTGTCTTTTCTTCTCTATAGTGAACTTGACAATGAGACTAAAACCTCTGGCTCGAGCTCATCAGCGTAATGGATAGCTTGTCTGGCAAACCAATCGAACAATCACCACGAGCCAATGTGTAGCTCATCAGCTTGGGCTCTTATTAAGATCAATGGTTCAAGGCAGTCTCATTAATACTCATCACAAACTATCAGCCTGATTCCCAACATGTTGCAACAGTGTTAACCACCATACCATACCACCACTTCAACTTCTTCCAGCGTATGTGACCTAATAACATTATGTATTCTTGTTGCTGGAATGTTAGTTATTTTTGAAACCCGTGTTATCTGCACTGCCTGGACACTGTGACATCTGAGCTTTCAGTCTGATCCACCAACTCAAGGGGAATCCACTGTCAGTTGGTCGATAATGTAATGCAACGAGGGGAGGTCACTGCTGACCGACCCAGCAATTTGAAGCCCAGATCTAGTGTCACACCTGGGCAGTTCACTGCAGAGTCAATACCATCAGATCATATACACCACCAAAATACTAGCAACGCCTCTGCTACAGGCAGTTTTTTTTTTTAAAACTTTTGTGAAGAGCTAGGCAGCTGCTTCCCCCTGTTTCTAGTCTTTAGTCTGGACTACCAGCGTCCACTGTGCAGAACAGTAAAGTGGCTGGGGGTGAGTGCCTTGCTCAATGGCAGACTGACAGAGCAGTCAAATGTATTTTGTTTACCTTTTTTTTTTACCAAGATGTATCCAGCTGCTTTACCATTTGTACCAGTGATTGATTTGGAAGATAACAAACTCAATCTTTGTCTGTTGGTCGGCTAAGAGTAAAATCACCCTCTGCAGCAGTGAAGGCCGTTTTCTAGCTGAATGAGCACAGATGAAAAACGGAGTTGTACAACCAGGACTCCCTGCAGCTTTATCTCTGCTGTGTAGCTGCGAACGATCAGGAACAGAAGCTGCTGTTTCAGGGAAAGTCTTATCTCCTTCATTTTGAACTGTGTTGCAATATTAGCTTTTTATCTTTTCTGTGGGAGTGTCTCGTAGGCTGATGGTCAGATGGGTGTGGCTGAGAATGCGGTGCTAGTGGAGAGAAAGGAGTCCCAGCAACAGTGAGAAGGAAGGAAGCGATAAGCAGACAAGTGTTCCGCATGCTAAGCATCAGCCCAAGAAAATATGACAGTTATAACGGCAGCTGTTGGGGCAGGAATTTGAGGAGCAAAGCTAACAAACTTTCATACCTTTAAGTTGTAATTCAAATGGATATTTCAACACAGAACATGAGCTTTGACAATAAGACTTCTAAATGTTTTTTGGCTCATTTAATTGCAAAATATGTTACATTTATAGCAGTTTTGAGTGTCAAATTGCTTTTGAAATACTGCCGCATGTGGTGTTGTGTGAGCCCCAAACCAGATTCCCTGACTTTCAACGCCTTCATCTTCCCAGTTGGCCCTTCAATTCAGTAGTATGACTCTTGTAGTGTCTCAGTTTCATTTGTTTGTCTGGTCCATCAGGCCTTCCCTCTCTGTCGATATTTGTGTTGACTTGGTTGCAACAGTAAGTAGATTAAGGGCCAGATGATTGAGGGCAAATCAATTACTGTAGCTCAGTGGTCTGTGTTGGGAGGAGGGGGGGGGGGTGCTTTCTTTGAGCTTTCTTTTCCAATGGGAACATCTTGAACAAACCATCATACCCAGGTTATGAGCCTTATGGATACTTATGTGTCTGTATTTATCAATAGTGACTTAATCACCTGTAATCACCTCATTGGTGATTGGCACCACTGTAATGGTATAGACTCTTAGTTTGTAATATTCAGGTATTTTTTTGATATATATTTGTTCCTCTCCTAATATCATATAAATGTTTTAATAATACTCGTACCAATAGGTCGTAATGTGCTTTATGATTTGGTGCTATATTTGTGGTCTTTCATAGTCTGAGGCATCTACACTGAAATGGAACAAGTAGCAAACATGGCTGCAGCCTACTTCTGATATCATCTTTTTTTAATATTTTCTCTAATAACAACCTTATGTTTTCCACACATGTTTTTATAGTATCTCGCTGAAATATCGGGTCCTTTGCCAGGGCGGTCGTGTGAATCGGGGCGGCTCCTCTCCTCCCACCGCCTCCTCCCAGTCCGCCCAGCGGCCAACTCCGTCATTTCGCCTCCTCGTCCCTCACTTGTTGGATGTGTCCGTTTGAATTTCTGTGATTTCAAGCTTCCTGGTGGTTGTTTTACCCTCTCGGAGTTCAGAGAAGACCGCTGCTGTGTGCGAACGTTAATGCGTTTTTACACGTTACATAGCGCGTAAAAAGTGCTGAAGCATTAGTCCTCGTCCTTACCTGTTTGTTTGCTCCACTTGCGTACCGTGACTATGCTCCGTTTTTCGGTGGCTGCTGGTCGTGGCTGTCTCTGCAGCCGTCCCTCTGACCTTTAGTCTGCTGGTCCCACAGCAGACTGTGCGGGGTTTTCCTGGCGGCGTTGTGCGCTCTGGACTCCGGCTCATCCTTGGAGAAGTTCCGCCGCAGTCCCGTGCACAGCGCGTCCCTGCTCTCCTCCTATACTGCGATAAGGATGCTGGTGGCTTTACACGGTCAAACTCTACAGGATTAGCCTGAGTTGAACAACCGGACCATGTAACCAGATCAGGTATGTGCAGTGATGAAAAGGGGAGATGGGGGTCACGTTTTATGTTTGTTATATAATAAATTTGGCTCTGGATTTAAATGCCAGGGGTGGCAGATACTTCTGTGACTCGGACCTTTGATGGGAGGGATTCGCTCCCATTAAGTTGTAGTGGTGGAAATGTAAAGGTTCACATTGCCTAGCAGACATATTTGTGACTTCAATTCAATTCAACGTGAATTGTGCCTTTAAGGCTGCCAGAAGAGAGGAAGTGACAGTGGAGCAGCTCAGCAGGAGCTGGAGTCGTGGGGTTTTGCCATTTCGCTGCTGCTGTGATCTTCTTTCACTCTGGTTCAGTCTGGTCTGGATGGCCTGCTGCTACTGGCATTTCGTTTTAAAAGTCTGCATCATTTCTAATTTAAAGAGGAAGAGCAAGGTAAGCTAGTGAACTGCCACGGATAGGAGTTGACTTGGGTCACCTGTATTTAAATGATAATCAATCATGAAGCATTTTGGACAGAAAGGGGCACAGGTGAAGGTCCTGAGTTGATCAAAGCACTCGCACTGCTGAGGTTCAATTCCTACTGAGGCTACTCCTGTTAAAAAAGGGTCGATTGAAAGTGCTTCACTATATTTTACACCTAATACCTCTGGATTGCTTTATGTAGGATGTTAGCTATAAAAAAGATCATTAATGGGGGCATAGTAACCAAACAAGCAGAGACATTTCGGGCAGATATAAAACTCTAAAATTCATATATTTGTATCATTTGAAATTCACCAAATCTCCCGTCCCACTTTACAATAACGATCTGTCAACATATCACCCAGCTGTTACTGTTTAAATTATACAAATACTGTGACTACTTGAATTTACTAGTTGACTTTATATCTACAGTAGACATCCTGCAATAGATAAAAGAAAAAAATCTATCACTGCATCTCTAATCCTGAGATTTTAAAAACGTGTTTAAAACCTGTGTTGCAATCTAGCTGCCTGTGTTTCTGCATCGGCTTGTTTCTGTCTCAGATATGTTCACAACAAACATACAAACAAAACCTCTGCTTGAAGAGTATTGATCTTCCATCAGCTGACCCATTTCTTACAGAGGAAGCTACAGTAAATACAGCTTGACTAAATAACTCTAGAGCAGCCTCTCTGTATCCCCCTGTCTCCACCTCGCTCCAAACACACACACACACACACACACTTGCATGCACACACTCTTCATAATTCCTCCACCTCCAGTGGCTGTGATACAACAGGAAGTGGGTTGATTTCCCAGAGGAGTCTGCAGTCAGGCTTTGTCACAGCTAACACAGCAGCAACAGACAGAATGTATTTAACACACAGCTTGTATAATGGTGTGCTGTGCCAACAATTCAAAACAGGGGGATTGCAACTAGCTGTGAGCAACATTTACTCTGCCAGTGCAAAGTTATTCTGTACCAGCCGCTCTGGCTGGGAAACTAAATATTTGATTGACCTAAGTTAATTTAAGTAACCGCTAACCCAAGCTGCCTCATCAACTCATGGCTCAGGATTTTTACGTTTTCGCTTCAGTTGAAGAAATACTGCGATGGTTTGACCTTGTTTGACCTTGTTTGAACCGAGGAAACCTCTTCAAAAGACATGTTGGACAAACTCACTGCCTGGTGTTGTGATTTTGGCCAAAAAGCAGCAATATTTTAGTCGCATACGTCCTCACCAGCCTGCAGATGTTGTGCGTTATGAAGCACTGGAAAAGTTGCCACTACGATCCTGCAATCCTAATCGCTGTCCTTATGCAGACACTGAGAACTGGCCTCATGTAACCGTCTGTATCTTAAAAGTTTTATGGTCTTCATGGATAGATGTTCCTCCAACATTTTGAAGTATCTGAGTCATGGTTGTGCAACTAAAAAAATACATTGAAGAACCTCAAATTGAAAAGTGAGGCTGGCTGGTCAAAATGAAGACTTCTTAGTTTGACCCACAATCTGGCATCATGTCCACAAAAGATTGGCATGAACATGTGAGGGTTAGTCACATACTATATCATACTTGCATAATACTATATTTAAAATAAGGGTCCCAACATCATCCGCTCTTGGTTGTGTGGAGCCATTTTTAAATCAAAATAGAGACGCCGTTACTGTAGGAAAGTCATAGATTTAGTCTCTCTGGCTTTCTGGAGGCGGACTGCTGTACTCGGCCTACCTTTAGGCTGTAAAGTCATGTCTTGCTTCCTCCTGCTGACACTCCACTCAATGTATTTTCTGGAACAACATGCATGGAAAAGTGTTTTTAAGATGTGGCAGTGGTGTGTGTTTGTTGGTTTGAGGTTGGGGTGGCTACCCAGGGAAAGTGTTTCAGGAGTGGTGTGTGAATTATTTAAAAGCCCTCAAGTTTTTTCTTGCTGCTGGATCGGTATTTCTTGCCATGCAATCGCGAGTTGAGAGTACTGTAGTTACACTTTAAAGGTGAGACGAGCTGTGTCCAAACTGCACTGCAGCATTAGCAGGATGGGAAACTTAACTCCTGGGTCTGCCTCCAGCTGTCAGCCACACCAGCACGAGCTATAATTGTATAAGCGATTTGAATCTCCAGATGCCGGCTGGTTTTTGGCAGACGGAAAGATAACTTAACATCCAATTTTACCCACGGATGTGTTCAACAAAGAATGAGGGATCCATCCTGCACATAACAATTTAACATTGTCTGGCAGATTTCCATATGGCAATGACACCAAAATGATATGTTGGTATGTGTGGCTCTTGATACAGCTTTAAACTACTGGACATTGCACATAATGGTTACCTTCTTACTTGGTTTATTGTTACGTCTTGGGTAATTAATCAACACTGCGACTATAAAGCTATAACGGTCCACAACGCAAGCCATCACCGGCATTAGATGGGCCTCATTTGTTTTATTTGTTTTCCGTTGCTTATGCGGTTTGGATCCCGGCTTGTGACTCTTACCGTGTTGTTGTGCAAAGTGATGTGCGGCGTGTGGATGTTAGCGCAGCTCTGAAGCGCAGCCAGGCTGGGTGAGGATGAGGCCAGTGAGAGGAAGGCTAGTTGGCAGAGCCGGAGGCCTCTGGAGCAGAAATGCTGTTATCTGCTAACGCTGCTCTACTGCTGCTGGCTGCTGTATCTGTGGTGACTCATCAAAAACACACACATGCAGACATACACACTTATACGGATACTTCCTGACTTAATCAGACTGACAAACGTAAGTGTGCACACCCCTAAAATGACACACTACTCTTTGACATATACATACTCACACACAGTTAGACATGTGCCTTGAGGCATACACACAGACACAAACAATCCTCCGAATTCTTACAAAGACACGCATGGGCATTGACAAACACAAACATACACCTTATACACACACTCTTTGTGTTTTGCTACTTTAAGCCAGAGTGACATTTCCTCTACATCAACAGTCACTTAAAATATTGTGATTATACTTTGATTTCCAGTAATAAAAAGATTTTGTGCAAGAACACAATGTGGAAATCTTCTTTTGGAGGACAAAAATCTTCCCTCGTAGTGAAAACCGGGTACTCCTTGGTTGGGAATTGAACTAGGGACATTTGAGCTTAAGATCCACACAGTGTCTACTCCTGTCCACCCCTCTCGACTAAACCTTTCCCGCTGAGAAAACACTCCTCTCTCACTTTTTTTACATCCTAAAGCATCTTCTTTCATAAATTGTCAGCCCTTTGTCATCACTACCCACCAGCTCCCCAACCTTTTCTTACTCATAGTTTTTTTTAGATGTAAAACTGTCTTTTTCTGATTCTCATACCCAGAACGAGCTGCAATACAGTCCCTAGAATGAAATGACATAAATAATGAGGAAAAAAGGTTGGAGGTTACACGACCCAGATAATATGCCTGTGACCTGAGGTGAACATGGAGGAAATATCTGCTAAGATGTATATTCCGTATAAATAAACTGTCACAAAGCAAGATTTAAGAGATAAAGTATATTTTTCATTGAAAAATTAAACAACATAATCATGTGGTAATATTGAACATAGTCTGGCCATCCTTTTTTTTTATTTTGTTGGCCAATTGAATGCTTTACACATGCATCATTAGGTGTTTCAGAGAGGTCACCAGACGCAGTAAACTTGAGATCTCTAATTCAAAATACAACACATACAAAAAGATTTCTAAATGAATCCATACAAAACAAAATATTACAGAAATCACATTACTTCAAACCATAAAACCTTTAATCTGAATACTATCTCAAGAAGAGAAGTGCCATTGCTGTGCATGTAAAGGTACTGATGTTCTCCAGATGTAATGGGTGTCTGTTATCGTTCCCTCCTGCTTACATTATTTGAGAGATTTAACCAATAACTACTTTCTCTCCAGTTGCCATCTTTACTTGGGTCAAAGAATGAAGACATACCACGGGCAACAGGTCAAGCGTTTACTCGGAACAAACGTTTTGTGGCTGAATAATAGTAAATATTCTGATTATGCATATGTCTTTAAAAGCTCTGTGAAATTTGTTAAATTACCTCATGAGTTTTACTGACGGTGGGTTATTGCATGAAAAAACCCGAACTAATGCAGAGAGGTAAGAGGAGATCTGAGTCGCTGTCTGTCCTGGAAGCGTTTCTCCTTCTGTGTCTGCCTGACTGTTAGCAGGATGGCACTGTGGATTCAGTTACCGTCCTGTCAGCTGAAGGTCACAGGTTCAGTTTTTTTTTTTTTTTGCACAGCCATCTGTTGAAATGGCCTTGAGCATGAGCAGCACTCTCAAATTCACACCTACTCATTCAGGCTGACTGCAAAGCGTGTGGTGTTCAGGACGGATTATTACAAATTATCCATTTTGACAGCTGTGGGAAAGGCGATAGAGTTGAAGAAGACTTGACCGTTAGTGTGACGGCTTTCTTTTGAGAGACTGTTCAAGGTGGCCATGTTTTATATCATCCAGGATAGGATTGGAAATGGAAAAACTGGAAGTACAGTAACGTTTGTTTGATCACAAGACCTTAGAGCAGAAG